GCCTTTATTTTTAAGTGTGTAGTGGAAAAAGGTTCTTTATTAAAATGTTCTTCACACTAAGAATATAAGTGTTTATTTTAAGAACCAGAAATGTATCTTTTATGGCATCGCTGCAAAAAAAAAAAAAACAGCATAGTTGATAGATTATTCTAGAGGCCAAAAGTTGAGCAGAGATGGACACATTGATTTGTAGTAAAATGTTCCAACTGACTTTTTTTTTTTACTTGAAAGGGATGCCATATTTTGTATTTTATTTTTAATTGTCTGTTTACTGAGATGGCACATACGTTATATACACTTTTCATATATCAGTAAACATATACAGTATATCATTGAACCACCTGACAGAGAACCTAAGTCCACCTCATTAATTTACACACTGTTCCAAAACCACAGCTCTTTCCCAAAAGAGTGGGATGCTTTTTTGGTAAGAAAAGAATAATGGAAAATAGAAAATTGTTTAAAACTTACTATTTTAGTCAGAGATTTATTTGTTCACAGCAGTCATCGCCTGATTAAGACTGAGAACTGCATCCCACTGAAACGGAAGATGTCATAAATCAAAAGTGGTACTACTCTGAAGTGACTAATAAGGGCCTATTACATTATGCATATATGCATATCTCATTATTACACTGTTGCCCTCTCACTTTCATAGCCAGATACCATATTAAACAACAACTCCTCTGGGAACTCCTAGACACTTAAATCCACATTCATAATTTAAAGAAACGTATTCAACGTGCTGTCTGTGCACCCTGTCCCGAGGGGCCACAGCCGTAGACTGGGCGACCTTTGATTCCTCGCACACTTGCAAATGTGCCAGTCCATTGTCCACGGCTACGGCCTGTTTTTGCATATTGATTACATTGATCCCTCCACTAAGCACTTACAAAGAGCATCTGAAGAATCAATACCGTGCCTTCTGCTGCTGTCTTGCCAAATCAAACTTCACCCCCAAAATAACATCTTGTCGGGGTGCAATGAAATGAATACTCGGAAGGGACGTGGTGTGACAGAACCATGCAAATCCTTTCAAAAAAGCATTATGCCCCTCAAGATCAGCATGTAGATTGTTTTGCTAACTCCAAATGTAACGTTCCCTCCAAACAACACAACTCTTTCAACCTTGGTGTTTTGGACAAAGGGATGCATTCGCAGAGTTGGGATAGAGTTTCACAGCCAGATTGATTATCTGAAAGTCTGCCTTCTTTGTTCTGGTCCCCACGGTGCTGATTTTGCTCTTCAGATGAATGTACACAGATGCAGAAACTTGGGTGCAGAGCAATAGCTGTGTAGTGGTTTTTATGTCATTTTGAGTTTACTCTTAGATATTTTCATAGTTTTCAGAGACACTTATATGACGACTTTAGAACAAGAGTTTAGAACAATTGTTGGGAAAAACTGCTTATGATAATTTCTTGAAAATCCTTGAACAGTCACAAAAATAGTATCCAAATGTACACTTACAAACCAAATGTGCTGAATTGAATTTATATTGTACAAATCTATAATTAACATTTGAAGTGAATATTCGGCCCCACTTTATATTAAGTGGCCTTAACTACTATGTACTTACATCAAAAAATAAGTACAATGTACTTATTTTGTTCATATTGTATTGCAAATTTGCTGCTATTGAGGTGGGAAACGGGTAAGGTTAGGGACAGGTTTGGTGGTATGGGTAGGTTTAAGGGTGGGTTAAGGTGTAAGGGATAGGTCAACAGTGTAATTATAAATGTAATTACAGAAATTAATTACACATGTAATTACATGCAGGCATTTTAAAAATGTACACAATAAGTGCATTGTACCAAATGATTCATTTAAATGTAAGTACATAGTAGTTAAGGCCACTTGATATAAAGTGGGACCGAATATTCTTATAAAAGCCTAAAAGCTTGGGTTTTTGTCCCGTTTTTTTAAAGTAAAACAAACATTTCTGAAACTAGATAAATTTACAAATATTGTAAATATAAAGACCTATTTTCATCAGTTATTTCTTATAAGATTTACTTTTCATAAATAGACTACTTCCAAGCCAAAGGGCCACTTGTGTTTGACGACTACAATAAGAAAGTATCAAGAGGGTCATTTAAACATGTTCAACTGCTTTTGGAGGCTATTAAAATATTTGACTGCTTTGGCATTTTAATGTTGATTTTTACAAACAAGAACATCTGCACAAAGATGCCTTCTGCATTTTACGGCAGCTCTTCTTTCTTTTCCTGGAGGGGTGTTTGATCAGAGTGGGTGCAGGGCAGTCTGGAGAGGAGGGGAGGGCAGCAAAGGGAGCCAACTGGGAGAAGTGTGTGTTTGTACAGAAAACGGTGAAAGATAACCAATAAAAAATGAGTGAGAGTCACAAAAGCTACTCAAACGTGTGCATATGTTTGCGTATTGTGATTGTGTTATGGTGTTAGTGTTGAGGTGTAAGAAAGAGCGGGAGAGAAAGTGAGTGTGACAGAGGGGGGCAAGCAGCTCATTGTAAGCAGTTAATCTCTTTAGCGGCACACGTCTTATGTAAAGAGGTGTAATGGTCTCTGCCCTCTCCTTGCCCCAAGGGACCCCAGGAGACACTGGGGTCCCGTATCCCAGCAACATTTGCATGTCGTTTATTCCAAAAAAAGATATGAAGGGAAAAAAAAACTGGTGAATGGTGATAAGATCCGCCCCCTTTGCATGGTAGACTCTTGTGTACAGGCAGACTATAGAGTATTCAGTGGTTCACTCAAGGACAAACACATTCTGACTCGCCACGGAGAGCATGCGAAGGAGATTTGATTCAGATTTCACAAACACTGCGTCTGTGGATTTATTTGTTTGGAGAGTAAGTGTCATTTTGTCATCTATTTTATTCCGGTAAGCCTTTGAACTTGATAGTAAAGAGGTGATTTCGTGTTACAGATGGCAGACAGATATTGAGACGCTCCAACTGAGATTGTTTACCTGCATCACATGTTGGGAAGTGATTCCTGTGCATGTGTCAAAGCACAATGCAATGTTTGACTTGAATCTTGCTGATTGTTTTGTACCTTACAAATTAACAAATAATGCAATAATAATATGCAGTGCATACAGAGATTGCTAAACATTGCTTTTCATGAATGTTCATGTTTGTTATTATTTAGCATACAAAATGAAAAGTGCAAACTCATCACAAAAAATACCCTCCGTAGGTTGACAAAAACAGTTTGCTTGTTCCAGTGATTTATGCAAGTTGTTTTAAATGGATTTCGTTGCATTTTTAATTTATGACAACTATGCATTAGGTGTTGTAACAGAACGTGTGAATTGATAATAATGTCAAGCACTGCGATTCATTTGCAGTGCTGCATAAAAGAAGAGTATTAGCATTACATCATTGCTTGGCATGCCTCGAGGACAAAATATGTGTGACTCTATTAAACAAAGACACTGATGAGATCGCTTTTCATTGGAAGGGACTGCCAAAGGGCTGCCTGAAGCCATTAAGTCCTTCTGCTGAAACAGATGCGTTTATTTATAAAAATGCAAAAGTAGTGTTGAATAATCTTATTTAATTATTTGAAAACCACATGAATGATAATTGAGTTGTTTGTGGAATATCATCCTTCTGGCAATGGTAACGGAGTGCAAACAATTGAATCAGTGTTTACTAATGTATGCTTCTACAATGTCTGTTTTATTTGATTTTGAAACAGCAACTTATGGAGTAGAGAGAGATCAGAAACAAACACAGATGTGGTTGCATTTATGGTTCTCTTATCTAAAACCAGCTGCGAGGCAGCAAAGTTACAACAAAATAACATAAAAAGAATATTTCTTTGGAATGCATAAATTCATAATGTGACGCTAATAATTAAGAAACAGCTGGCATATTTGCTGTGTTCTTTCTAGCTAATAAGCCTTTAACATATCAGCACATCATCACAATTAGGCCAGTTATACAAAGCCACGTGTGATGATCATGGCAGGTCTTTTGTTCGTAAAGCCCCTCACTATCTGCTCTGAAAGACAGATGGAAGGCATGATGTGTTGATTATGGATGTGTAATATATGCTTTAGGCACATATGAATCATAAAAGAAGGTTGAGTAGCTGTTGACAGACCTTTGGTACTCTTGAACTGTTGTCAGGTGACTGACAGGTCCCATCTCCCTAGTGGGACCCCATATTATGTCCAACATATGGAGCCTTATATATCTACACTAATATGTATTGTAAGCTTGTTTTTTTTTTTCTAAGTAATGCTTGTTTGATGTAATGAAATATGCAAAAACATTATGCATGTTTACATGCACCATTATGTTTGAGCTAAAGTCTGTCAAACTATACATGGCAAATCAAATATTTTTAAATAATTAAATATTTAATATATATTTGAAAGATTAAATAAACAATGCACAAGCCACAACACAGAAGCCAGCTGTAATGGATTGATGTGTGTACATGCTGGATGAAGCAAATCTTCAATCACATTATTTGTCTAACTTCACAAAAATCGGACCGGTACGTTGGACTGGACTAAAGCATTTACATGACATTTTAAAAAGACGTTGTTTTAGTCTGGCAGAAATCAAACTCAAAGTGCATGGAAACATACTCATTGTTTCTGGTAGCCTGACAAGAAGGAAAAAAAAGTAATTGGCAGGTCTTTTGACCTACTGACCAAGTAATATGAATAGATGTTTGACCTGTCACACTAATTTCAAGCTTGCATTTGCCTTTGTTTGTCAAAGAGGAGGGTGTTCTTGGTACTTGTTAAAAGCATGCGTTCAGTATGGTCTCCATATTGTAAATCAGGATATTAAGGGTAACTGCCATTAGGTCTACCCCATTGTATCCCATGTGGGCAAAGAGCCAACAAAAAATACTGTAGTTCCTGGTTTTGTAGGACTTGTTTGCTGACCTAGTGAACGTTAAGTAAAGTAAACATTAAGAAAATTCTGCATAGACTATACTGCTCTAATGCCTAAAGGAGTCATCTCACTACATTTCTTAAAATCCATGTTTTACCAGGTTTCCCAAATGGGAATAAGAAGGATCTCCACACAAGGCTATGAGTCCATCAGACCTTCCTCCATCATTAAAATTCTGTAATTACACACCTGCCGCCACCAAGACCACCACCTGCTTTCTCCAGATGTCCCAGGAAACATGGGTAGTGTCAGCAGTTTGATTTCAGGCCATAGCCTCCACAGCAAACACTGCAAAGCCTCTGAAAACAAAATCAAAAAGGGGCTTCAGTCTAAGAAAACAGGCCGTAGCTTGGATGGCCTTCTGAAGTATGGCTTCTCTCAGGACCATTGCAGCACCAACAACAGCTCAAAAGTCAGCTATCATTCAGGCAAAAATGACGACTTCTTTTACATCAAGGTCAGCAACAAGCCCCGAACTGCTAACATTAATACAGCTGAAGACAGTCAAGGAAGAACAACTGAGATGGACAATGAAGTGGACAGGAGAGGAGGGCCACCAGAATTAGTTCCGCTGTCTGGAAAACTAGAAAAGGTAACAGAACTAGAGTCAGTCAGAGAATAAACAAAGCGAGGCATGGGCTACAAAAAAGTTTTTTTTTTTTTGCCAAAATAACAATCATCAAGATTTTAATTTATTCACTGCCTATATTATTGTGTAGTGTTTCAGTCCTATAAAACTCCAATTTAAAGCAGTACAACTTGTAAACAAAGCAAAATGTCTGCTTAGGACTCATGCTCAGTTCAGATTAAAGCAGCCAAAATCAAAAGATGGCCCATCCCCCAGACATTGTTATCACACAAAATCAAACAACAGTCAAGTATAGTTGATGCTAAGTAATCCCCACCAGCCCCTGACACTTTCTCTAAGAGCTTAGCGGTGTCTGCTCCATTTAATTAAACCTTCAGATTGACGAGGTAAGAATGCCTTGATCTCTCTAGAGATTCGGTCCAATAGCGTTGTGGGAGTTGCAAGCAGGCAAGCACCTCTTTCCCTGAATAGCCTCATTTATGAAGAATCTAGCTAGGACAATGAGCCCAGTTTCACTTGGTCAGGAAGTTAATGCTAAACCATGGGGTAAACATGCTACCATGAGTAAGAGGAAGTGACGGAATAAGGGAGAGGAATAAGAAAAAAGGGAAGGATTCTTGAGATTGTCTTGTGGATCAATCATTTCTGAAAAATGTTTTGTTGTAATGCCCTGGCAGTTATGCCAGTAATTACTTTGAGAGCATCTGATCGATAGGTTTTAAGATGGATTTGTGTCCTGCCATAAACATGAGTGAATGATCAATTGGTTGTACTGCACTTCAAATCCCAAAAATACTCATCTATCTTTTGTGTCCTCTCTCTTTTAGAGTAAAGAGAATGCTTTAATTCGACCCACCGCCTTCAAACCCGTTCTTCCTCGAAGCAGCAGTTCCTCGGTGGAGACTTATAACAACTTGAGCACTATCCTGGGCAAGAGAATTAGTCCTATAGACAGGCTAAAAGATCTTCAGGACCCCAAGCTGGAGACAAATTCTGGTACCTTCTCTGACTCTGGAAGGAACTCTATGTCCAGCCTGCCCACTCACAGCACCAGTGGCAGCAGCCAGATGGACAACCTAAGCACATCAAATAACCACATGGCACGCCGCGGAGGCCTTGCCCAAAACATGGACACATCTCAGAACCCACAGGCGGGTGTAGCAGGGATAAATGGAAACTCTGGATCCAGTTGGATGTGTAGTGGGACTAACGGTGGAAACGGGTGGGCCAATGGATTTTGTGAAACAAACAGAAACAGTGAGTCGACGAATGACAATACGAGATCTATTGGTGTCCTAAGCGAAAGTGTGGCGGCAGCAATAAGTATGAACAGAGAAATAACTGCTGCAGCGCTGACTGTTTCATCCACCGAGCCAAAGATGGATTTCTCTGGAAACCAAGAACTGCTTCTGGAACATAGATTTACAATTTCAGAGCAAAGCCCGACAAAACCATCATCTTCTGGGGGCTGTGTCCGATCACCAATTTCGATGGATGAATCACTGATACAGCAGCTGGAGCAGAAACTTCTAGAACGTGAAACCGAGCTGGTGGAGTTACAAACGAGCCTTGATGAGAAGGAGTCAGACACATGTCATCTATTTGAGGAGAAGCAACGGTACTGTGCTGAGGAGATGGAGGGGTTGAAACAACGTTGTTCTACAAAACTCCGTCAAGTAAGTTGCTTACAATATTCACAGGTTTGAAGGGAATGTGAATATATAAAGTTTAGTGTGACTCCAAAACCAATGAGTACTTTATCTTACATTGATGGTCAACTAAGTACACTATTCACCTTTATCCAGGCAGATCTTAATGATGGTTTGTGTAACCTGCAGGTGTCTCAGAGGGCTTTGAGAGCCCAACAGTTATTGCAGCTTCAGGTGATACAACTTCAACAGGACAAGGAACGTCTGCAGGAGGAGGTGGACCAGCTTAATCGTGACCGGGACACTGCAGAAAGCCACCTCCGAATCTATGAGAGACAGAAAAACCTAGTACCCACTCTAGAAGAGACTCAGTGGGAGGTCAGTCTATAAAACTTTATCGTTGTGTAATGACAAATGTGGATACAATGAAAATCTAATGCGCTCAGTGTTTGATAAAGAGGTCAATTTAAAAGCTGAACAGTTGGGATAATAAGGGAAAAAGATCAAAATTGTTACAAAAACACATTCACATTTATCATTTTTTGTTATATTTGTAGGTGTGCCAGAAGTCAGGTGAGATTTCTCTGCTAAAGCAGCAAATTAGGGACTCCCAGGCCGATGTTGGAAACAAACTCAGTGAGATTGTCAGTCTCAAATCCTCTCTGAAGGAGTCTAGATGCAAGCTGGAAGAACTGGAAAAGAAGATCAAGGAGTACGAGGAAGCACTTCACCAGCGGAGCGCTGAGGTTGAGGTCAGTGTTAGCTGATATTAGATTAACTTACAGTTGCTACTGCATGCTGTACCATCACATTTGCCTGACTATGATATCTCTTTTTAAAAAAGGTATCTAAAAATGAGTTTCAAAGAAAGAAGAATGAAGCTGACCTCCTCAGGGAGAAGGTGAACATGCTGGAAACGGACATCAAGGGCATGAAGCAGGACTTAGCAATGGCCAAAGAGGCGCAACAACAGCTAATGACCATGAGAGCCAAAGTTGAGGAGCAACAGCTGCAACTACAGATAAGCCAAGCCCGGATGGAGGCCTTTGGGACTGGTCAAGCCAAATCGAAAGCCCAGGATGGAACAAGTGCCAGTAAAACACTGAATCATAATGGAGGGACTGCAAACTTGGATGCCCTACAGAAGGATGTAGAGAGGCTGAGAGGGGAACTGAAGGAAGAGAAGCAAAAGAAACATAAAATGATGAATAGCTTCCAGCAGGAGAGACAAACGTGGAATAAAGAGAAAGACAAAGTAATCAGATACCAAAAGCAGTTGCAGTATAATTACCTACAGATGTACAGAAAGAACAAGGACCTGGAGAAGATTCTGAGGGAGCTAACGGCTGAGATGGACAGTCGGACAGAGATGGACATGGACAGCCATAGCTCTGACCTGAACTTTGAAAAAATTGTAGCTACAGAGATATGAGGTCATAGGATGAATGTTTTCACAATTAACCGAATGGTCTTAAAAGGGTGAATGTATTAGTGGGTGGAATTCACAAAGCAAAATTTAAAGGGAAGAAACATGATGTCACCGAAGTTTTTAAGATGTCATGAGATGCTCGAAACTCAAGAGTATAGCATCACTTGTACATACCACCAAAAGCTTTTCTCCTTTTAGATCTACCACTTAACTTAAAATCTTAGGATGTCATCCATGTGCATTTCTGAATAAGTTCCTATTAAATGTTCAGTAAGCTATTTTGTTTATTAGAATTACACGCTTACTTAAGATATCTCACTGAATTAGTGTTCCATCAGTAACCATCACATCTGTCTCTGTGGCAGCCGTAAATTCTGTAAACTCCAAATAATTGACCACGATTAGATTCTTTGTTTAGCCATTTAAGCATTTTCTGCCTGTCAGTCATTTTGTGCATTCATAGGGCAGCCAGTGAATAGGAAGCAGGTGTCTTAAAAATGTGTGGCGGTTGAGACTTGAATAATTTAACTTAAACTATTAACCATATTAAGTTTCATAAGCAGTTGACAGTTGTTGGTTCGTCATGCAAGGATACTATTTTGTTAGCATTTAGCTTTGCAACAATGAGATGTGCTACTGTTTTCCTGCTAATCTCTGAATACAATGGTAAGGGTTATAGAAAGTGTGTGCAAGTCTAATTTAGAGATTATTTTTGCAGAAGTTTCAGAATGGCTAACATTGCTTACAGCACCTTTAATCTGTGCACATCCAACCAAATGCTTACCTCCCTCTAATCCAAACAATCCAGCTCTTCTTGCCTAAACCTCAAGCAGTTGTACATTCTCACTACAGGGTGACAAAGTGATATGAATGTTTTATTTGCTGTAATTGCTAGTTTTGCACTCTCTCTTCCTTTTTATATGACAAGAATCTTTATCACCAGTGTCTTGGCAGACAGGCTCATAGAAACAATCTGTGTACAGGAATATAGTAGCTCATACAGTGAGATTATGTCATGTTGAATGCAAATGCTCTGTTCACAAATGTCCAGACACATATTTCATTGTTAATCTAAAGTATTTCACAATTCCTTCGCATCTTTTTAACAGTACTATACTATCAACTTTGAAGCCTAGACATTGTACAGTTTTTGTTAGAAATTTAAAAGTACAGTCAAGTCACTTTCACTCGCAGACACATGTGTGGGACAACAAGGGTTAATTTAAAAAAAAAACACATTTGTACTACAGGAATATATAATTTTGAAATGAAACTGACTCTTTTGAACCAAAATATTATTTTAACTCTATTTTATCTTTTCTTCTAAACAAAAATAATATCCTAGCTTTTGTTTTCCATTCAAGAAAAGTGGATGTTTTTCACTGCCAAACCACAAAAGTTGTTCACTCATATAGGCTATTCCTTGTGTGAAAACTCTCAAATCTCAGTTGTGTTTTGTTTGTGGCAGGATTGTTCATGTAACATGAGAGCCAATGCCGTTGGGCTTCATGAAGACAAACATTCCTCTAAGGATGACATTTTCTTCTAATTGAAAATAAGAATTGAGATTTGAGAGATTTGTAAGGGAAGATTATCATTGAATAAAGGCTTAAATTTTGGTCTATTCTACAAGCAAAACAACTGTATGACTTGTAAGGACCTTGAACATAGCTCATGTGGACTACTTTTATGTTTTTGGGGAAAATAATACTTGGTTAGAACAATAAGAGTGAGTACATGATGACAAAATGCTCATTTTTGGACCAGTTCTGGAATTGACTGAAGGAATTGCCATCCTGGGGAAAAAGATAGGTCTTAAAACTGACTGAACAACCATTTTACTCTCCAGTATGAGTACTGAATTTTAATTAGTTATCACTTCAAAATGCTATCTATAAAAAGATTTATCTAGCTAGAAGAAGCCTGATGGTACAACTGTATGTTATACAGAGATGAAACAAGTTTTTTTTTTTTTTTACAGCTGTAGAAAAACAGGTGATGAAACAAGATGGCGATAACAGAGTCGTGCATTCTCCTTTAGCACTTAGATGTAATACAATACTATACTTAACCGTTCACAGGACAACTTTTCCTTTTTTTAAGATTAAGGTGGGCAGCACTGAGACTGTTTCCGTTTTTCATTGCACAAATTTGTTACCCAATGTTTCATCATACAAAAGCCCCCAAAAAGCTGACTTGTAAGTTATCATCCCTAGAGCTTCCAGGAGTTTTGATTTGATAACAGCAAACTGATAATCATATTATTGATGGTGCAGGGTGGTTGTGGGGTGTAAGGCTGTCTCTAGATGCATTTGAATGCATGTATGCTGTATATTTCTTATTTATTTTAAGTAAATAAATTAAGATTTTTTTTTCTGAATGCTGTTTCAGTTGGTTTTCAGTTAGTTATTTTATAGTTCATCAAGCGACATGTGGCACAATACCTAAACAATATTCAAAATCAAAGTTGATAAAGGCAATGCAACTGCTAGAGCCAGTGATGACATCAATCTGCAACACAGGTGCGTAAGTCAGACAAGACAAATAACCTGTTGTATTTTTTATTTTTTTCATTTGTTCCCGTTCTTAGCATTCCTGTGCTACCAGACAGAATAAAGGGAAATGTAACTGTGTTGTATTATCTCATAAAGCAGCTAAATGTAGTAGCAATTTCTAACAATCTTCAATGCTAGTCATCATCAATGGCACACAAAATAAGTATAAAATAAATTGTACAACTATAAGACAGAGATGGGACCAAGTCATTGTTTTGCAAGTCACGAGTAAGTCTCGAGTCTTTGCATTCAAGTCTCGAGTCAAGTCCCGAGTCAAGACAGACAAGTCCCAAGTCAAGTCCCGAGTCAAGACAGGCAAGTCCAAGTCGAGTTGCAAGTCCTCAGCTGTAAGATTCAAGTCTTAAACAAGTCATTAGTGCTTTTTGCCCAAATTAGTGTCTCAGTATTAATTACCATATCAAATTCATAGTAATTTATATCAGGAAGGCAGGTAGAATATGTTTGACATAGTTAAATTTCATGTGAGATGGGTGCCCTTAGTAAAACTACTCAAGTTCAGTTTAGGGATTGTGCCAAAATAGGATAAACAGTGAAAAAAACTATTTTATTAGTAACAGAATAGCAAAGACAACATAGTTTCATAGAAATAAGAGCTGCAACATACTTTGCATGAATAACACTTTAATAACACAGTAATAACACAGATATAACAAAGGAATAACACAGTAATAAAACAGAAATAGTTCAGTAATAACACAGGAATAACACAGTAATAACACAGGAATAACACAGTAATAACACAGGAATAACAAGTTTCATAGAAATAAGAGCTGCAACATACTTTGCATGAATAACACTTTAATAACACAGTAATAACACAGGTATAACAAAGGAATAACACATTAATAACACAGTAATAACACAGAAATAACAACGGAATAACACAGAAATAATTCAGTAATAACACAGTAATAACACATTAATAACAGAAATAACACAAGAATAACACAGTAATAACACATTAATAATACAGGAATAACAGTAATAACACAGGAATAACAGAAATAACGCAGGAGTAACACAGTAATAACACAGAAATAACACAGTAAATCATGGTAATAACAGAAACAACGCAGGAATAACACAGTAATAACACAGGAATAACAAAGTAATAACACATTAATAACACCGTAATAACACAGAAATAATTCAGTAATAACACAGGATTTACTCAGTAATAACACAGTAATAACACAGGAATAACACATTAATAACACAGTAATAACACAGTAATAACAGAATTAAC